TCCCTTCAAAACCTTTCCTTGCTTTTTGGCAGAGCTGTGTGCCCCATAACATGACAAGGCAGATACTGAACCTCACTGGCTCTCCTGTTAGCTCATAACCAGTAGGTGCCACATGCAGCTTTGTGTTGAGCAATATGGGTCATATTGTTACCAGTTGTATGTCCTGTTCTTGTCATTCTTGAAAGCTCCTTATGTTGATTTTACATTCCTTTTAGTATTTCCTTCAATTTCTAGCATACTTGAAATAAAACATTTGGGGTCTGATGTTGAAAGTTTCCTGTTCACAAGTGACCCTAGTAGACCATTTTTGTGTCATGTTACTGTTTCATACTAAACTGATTTTTGGTGTCGATAGGTCATGAAACCACTGCCAATCAGTTGGCATTTACAGTAATGGCAGTGGCTCAGCATCCTGAAATACTGGAAAGGTATGTGCACTCCAAATTGCAAACCCAGCTTGCTGTTAATTTCAAGGTGAACTTAATTATAGGGATTATTAAAAAGCTAGGATCAGCTCCCAATAAATTCTAGCCTCCTTTCCAAAATACACATTTTCATTGTCCCAGTGTATCTAAAATGTAAAAATAAAGCTTAAGGTGGATTATTTCCATTTAATCTAGGTGATTTTTTCAAAGCCCTTATACATACTGGTCCCAAATCCCACCTGATTCAGCTGCCCTGTATGTACATTGCTCCATCCTGATATGAGGTACAAGTTCAGGCAGTTTGGTTGGGAATTGGTAGGCATTTTGCCTGAGGACAAGTGTCTAAGTCCAACTCAGTGTCTGGAAAGTAAAAAATGTGATCTGTCAACTTGCCTAGCAAGAAATGAGTGTCTGCAGCTAACATTTTCTAATTTAACTGCAGGGTTCAGGCTGAAGTGGATGATGTTCTTGGTGCCAAGAGAGACATTGACTATGAGGATCTTGGCAAACTCACCTACTTATCGCAGGTACTGTAGGAGTGAGGTAAGATACCAGTCAGAGCTGTTTGGTAGCACCTCTGACATGTCATGGAGGAGCCACACACTTGAAAAAATTGTAAAACAATGCTAAAATTTTATCCTGATAGTGTTTGCCCCAGAGAGTCAGCAAGCAGGTACCATGAGCCATTTGCAACAGCCTTGTTGGGAAGGATGTTTCTCAAATATCCTTAAAAAATCCTACATGATACCTTCACTGCTTTAATTATTACCAAGTTGGGAGCAAGAGTGAAGTTGCATAATCACTACCTGTTTCAGCTGAAACCATAGCTGCAATTTGAAGAAGGGTTTGCAACTTTGAGCCCAACCTGTGTGTGAATCCCACACACTTCCCTAACTCACAGCTCTATTTTTGTTTGATCGTTGTTAAAGCATTTCCAGCTATGATCTCACCATGCGCCATAAACTCTGGGATTTGACGACAGCCGAAAATAATGGCTGGTTTTGGGAATGTCAGGTTTTCATTATTCAGTCTTGAAACCCCCTTCAGTCACTCAGGGGTGTGGGTGGGAGAGAGTTTGGTCCTTAAAGAAGTCTTGCACATAGAAATGTCGGTTGGTAATGAACTGCAAAGCCAGGGTTGGCTACTCGCCAGCGTTTGTGTTGCATATCCTTTTTTACAAGGTGGGGGACACCAGTAGCTCTCAGGAGAGGCTGAATCACAGTCCTGGCAGCTATTCTGCTTAAATTACCCTGTGATTTTAGTAGTCTGCCATGATCATTTTTCTCTCAAACTGCTCTGCTGAGGTGAGCGATAGTATTGTACCATTTGTTATATCCCATCCCACAAATCACTGTGCTTTGACACCAGATAGATTTCATAGATGTATTTCTCTCAAGGAAAAGGCAACTCTGTGTGATTACAGAAATCAGCAGGTTTCCTTAGGCTTCTCCAAACACCATCACAATTATACCACTCCAATTAGGATGAGGTATCTAAGCCTTTCAGTTTTAAGACACATCACATGAAAGCCCCTCGAAGCAGACCATTCATTTAGCAGCACAAGCTTGGATCTGTACAACTGAAATCACAGTCACCCTTGGTCAGAGCCAGTCCATCACTTGAGTATCAAAGACTATGGGACTCCTCTCCTGTTGCTCAGGCAATTCTGAATCCTTTTGTCCACATTTCTCTATCATTAGTCCACTCGTGCATGCATGCTGTTAATTGCACTTTCAGTGCGATGCTCATGTGCACTGTTAATTAGGTTTCACTTTGATGAAATAAGCCATTCTTACAGCTCACTGCCACCAAAAGAAATGGTCTCATTCCATTTTTCCCCTCAACATTCCCTATTCATTTTCCTTTGCCAGGTTGGTTTTTTGTCACTTTGGTGCTCTGACCTGGCTCAGTTCCGCAAGCAGCAGAAGCAGGACAAAGGCAGGAGTGGGAGCACAGTGCTGAGAGTGGGAAGGAGGTAGGAGCAATCACCTATCCTCAGACAGCCAGTGCCCAGAACAGCTCATCGGGTGCAGGAGACTTCACTCTTAGATATTCCCTTTGAATTTGCTTCCCAGTACTTTTTGTGCTCAGCTGTTCATCGGACATGAGGTGTTAGATCTGTTCAATGCATTGGATCTCCTGAAGGAGCTGACTTAGCCATTTATTTTACCCACAGGAGTCCAAGGCAGATAGACCAGCATCTATTCCAAAAGTCAAAATCTCCCATTTAGCCAAAGCAAAAAGCCATAGGGAGGTAATTAATTTTATTTCTGCTTCCCACACTGGATTAACTAACTAACCTTTTGTGCTTTTCGCTGGCCCAGGTTTTGAAGGAATCTCTGCGGCTGTACCCGCCTGTCCCGGGGACAATACGCAGGCTGAAGAAGGATCACATCATCGATGGCATCAGAATTCCTGCAAACACAAGTCTCGTTGTGAGTCCCATCCACCATCAACAGCTTTTAGCTGCTGCAGTTGATCTCTAAAATTTTGACCAATACTGGGGTATGAATTGGGACTCTCAGTTGGGACTGGGGAGTGGAAAGCAGTTATAGTTTTGTACCTGTGGCAGCAAAGAGGCATTTTCAGTGTGCTGCTCCTGACTAATGCAAATAAACTCTTTCTTGACAGTTCAGCACTTATATAATGGGAAGGATGGAAAGGTTTTTCAAGGATCCATTTACTTTCAATCCAGACCGATTCAGCAAAGATGCACCTAAGTGAGTTTCTTTTTACTCTCAGGTTATTAAATATGTAACAAGGAACCATTACAGGAGGAGATTTCAAGGGGAAAAAAAGTAGAATAAAACTATTTTTCCATTCCAGTGTGAGTAGTACTAAATCATCCAAATGCAAATAGAGGGCAATCATGTACAGCTTTTATTCAAAAATTCTTTAGGACACATGATACCTTATAAAAAAAAGGGATCAATACTGTTGTTATTTAATGTTTATATTGAGATCAAAGCTTTGGGCCAAAACCAGGTGGAGTACTTGCCTTAGTGCAATACAAACATTTCATATGTGACAGCCCTGGTCCCAGGGTGCTTGAAATGTGTCCGTATGAGAGAGGTGAGAAGGGCTGAGGGACAAAAGATGCTGGTCAGCCACATGGCCAGTCAATCTAGGTCTAGTCAGTGGTCAGGAGTGCAATAGAAGGGACCAGTGGCTAAACAGGTGCAGAGATCAGCACCAGCTAATCCATGTGTCAGGAGTTTTGCTTCATCCTAGTGTTAGTCTGAACTAGCTGACTCTAGCTCCTGAACCAAACACTTTTTATTCACATGGTTCAGAGCTGCCCAGAGGAGCAATAATTGGGTGGATCGTTACATCCTCGTGACAGGCTGGAGAGCATTTAGAGTGTGCTTGACATTCAGCTTTGAAATAAGTTTGGCATACCTCAAAACAGCTCTGTGAGCTGAGCCATGTAGTAAGCAGAGATGATGAGGAAACATGCTGTGGAGCTGTATGGCTGCTCTGAAGCAAAAAGAGTTAATTTGGAGATGGTTTTAACAAGTCAGATAGGCATTTCCTTCCTGCTGTGCTGAAATATTTGCTTGTTTCTTTACAGCCAAGCTGTCAGAGTGACAGTTTTGAACATTTTTCTTTGCAGGCCATATTACTGCTATTTTCCATTCTCTCTGGGACCTCGATCCTGCATTGGTCAGGTGTTTGCACAGGTAAGCAGAGGTCAAGAATGACACTTCATTAGCAAGCACTGGGTCAGCTCAGGGTGTGCTGGCCATGGCTGGAGGTGAGGGACTGATGGTGCACTGACCCTCTTCCTTCTAGAAGGAAGGTCCCCCCCCATGCCCATGCCAGGCATTTCTCTCAAATGCTATCCCATGAGCAGACCCCCACGTGCCCAAGTGGTCCCACATCACTGGTGTGCTCATGCAGCCACAGTGAATGCAGGGGAGGGGGCAGCAGGTTGCACTCCTTGTGAACTGTCCTGGGGCAGCCTGCTTGAATCCAAACCCCTTGATGGGAATCACAGTCAACATCCCTTTGCCAGCCAAAGTCAAACACATGGAGGGGTTGTGCAGGGGTTCTTGGGGACCGTCCCATTGCTGCCAGTGGCAGAATCAAGGCAGGGAAAACATTAACTGGCAGAAGGGCACAGGCCAGAACTGGCACGGAGAAGGTGGGAAGGAGGATGCATGGGTGGGAGGAACAATTTAATGATGTATATGAGCATGGCAGAAAGTGTTTCAGGACAGCAGAAGGTCATCTCCTTGGGTCTGTGCTGTGAGTTCCTCTAAGCATCAGCACTCAGATCTTCAGCTCTTTAGTTTTAGAGTCTGATTTCCAAAATGAGGTTAATGCATAAACACAAGGACCAGTCTTAGTGCCTGACAGTTGTCTTCAAATCCAGGCAGCCCCAGGTTCCCTGCCCAAGCTCAGCTGGCTGCATTAACAGAGTAACATTTAACTTTAAAATATTGACAAGGCAGCATAACATGCTGACTTTAAGCAGCTGCAGTCAAACCTGTATTTGCTGTCACTGACAATGAGTTTACTTTTCTTTACAGATGGAGGCAAAAGTGGTGATGGCAAAACTGCTGCAGAGGTTTGAATTCCAGCTGGTACCAGGGCAGAGTTTTAAACTCTTGGAGGCTGGAACCTTTAAGCCACTAGATGGAGTAATGTGTAAAATAACGCCAAGGAGCTCTACAAGAAGCTGCCGGGCGTGACTACTCAAGGAGGGGAGCCTGACATGCTATTGGTAGTTTCTTCTGATTTTGAAGTTCTTGACTCTAATCAAAGGTTAGATTTTTCAGCCCCCTTTGGAGGATTACTAGACTGAAATTATTCCTAGCCTTCATCATCATTTACTGAAGAAAACTTTAGGAGTTACTCTAGTGATCATCTTCAGTCTGGAAGCATACCTGGAATTGCCAAGCTTGTTATTTTCCTGGGGGACTCTTTGATTCTGACCAGACTTGGAAAAGAGCATCTTTTCACTGGAGTATCCCTGGAGCTCCACACAAACCTACACTCAAATTCCAGCTCATAGTTTCCACTAAGTTTACTTACAACACAACATGGTCTAAGTCAGCCCTTGTTTGGGGAGTTGCCTACTGCCACAATGAAGTCAGAAAAGAATAGAGCACAGATTTGGGCTGAAATTCGGAAGAAACATTTGGAGATAGTCTCATGGTCAAATCAATTTTTCCATCCCTGCTCTAAATGAGAAGCACAATTGATAGGAACCATCTGAAGAAAAAAAAAATCAGAGTCTGAGGCCAGTACTTTCCCCTGTTAATTCTGCCTCATTTTCATTCAGTCTTTTCTACTTTTCTTCTGGTATAATGCAAAGTGTAGATTCCCAGTCCATGCTGTAGAAAGGGGCTCTCCTGCTTCCTCCTACCCCTCCACACAGGCTGTATTCATTCTCCCCAGACACAGTTCTTTTGGACAGGAGGAGTCTTGCTGGGTTTATGTTAACCTGGATCATTTTCCCTGTCTGCTTTACCACGAACCTACACCAACACTTGGACTAGATGGTCTAGTAGGTATAGCAGGGTTGAAAGTAAGTGCCTAAACTAAATGCTGCTTAAAATAGTGTTGCCAGTGAAGAAATGCATTTAGAACTTGAGCCAGAGACAGAAGGTCCTGCACCCCCTTCTTCTGCAGATGTGGCAGAATTGCTCACTGCATGTAGGCTTGCAGCTGGGCTCTGCTAGGGAAAAACAGTCATGTGAAAATGCTGCCTACAGAAATAAGTGAATACCTAATGGGACTTTGGGCCTCATCTATCATGAAATACAGAGAATTAAAGACATTTGATGCTGCCACTGTTGTTTCTTACCTTTCTGAATTAAAGGGGCACTAAGAGAGTCCATACACTGCCAAGTTCCTGTGGTGGTTTCCATACCAGGAGAGTAACATTCCCAGAGCTTCCCCTGACTCTGCTCCTGTAGTGCACCATCTCATTCAGTGCAGCAGTGGGATAGCAGGCCCAGAAGGTTGATGCTTCTTTTGATAGTGCAATTAACATCTTATAGTGTACTAATATGCCTTACACACAGAGGTAACACTACCTGCATTGCAAGGGAACATTGATTTCATCTATCAGTAGACATGCTCTTCAAGACCTTGTGCTGGAGATCTTGTTATATCCTCCTAGACATTAATAAAATCTCATTGGGAAAACTGAGGACTCTCCATCTGGGCATGTGTTCCCAGGAGCTGATGCAATATGGAGCAGGATGCTCTATGCCAGTCAGGCTGGATGTGCTGGTGGCGTAACAAAAGGATGAAGCCTGAGAATATGTCAAAAGGAGGGAAGTATCTTGGTGTCGTGGGGAGTGGTGGGGGAAGCTGTGACAGGGAGTGGCATATGCTGTGAACAGCACACAGAGAGCATGACAGACATGGCTGTGAAAATGCAAGATGCCACCACACCAGGTCTCCACTCTGTGCCAGCAATGAGGGAGTTGAGATGCATTAGTCACACAAACACCTATTGCCTTCTGCTAGGAGCAGTGTCATCCCCCTGTACCTAGCACTGGGGAGGTCAGACCTCAGTGCTGTGCTCAGTTTTGGGCCCCTCATTTTTAAAAGGACATTGAGGCATTGGAGTGAGTCCAGCCAAGGGCAACAAGGCTTGTAAAAGGTCTGGAAAACATATGTGAGGAAGGGCTGAGGGAATTCGGTTTGTTTAGCCTTGAGAAGAGGCTCAAGGGTGACCTCCTGGCTCTCTGCAATTACTTCACAGGGGATTGTAGAGAGATGGGGGATGTGTGTCCTGCCATGGCTGCAGGGAGAGGACTAGAGGGAATGGCCTTGAGCTGAGCCAGGGCAGAGTCAGATGAGATGTTAGGAAAAATGTTTTCCCTGTTAAGAGTGTTCAGGCACTGGAATAGGTTGCCTAGGGAGGTGGTGGAGTCACCATCCCTGGAAGTGTTTAAGAGGTGTCTGGATCTGATGCTGGAGGATATAGTTTAGAGTTTAGGGGTTACAGCAGTCACAGGTTAATGGCTGGACTCAAGGATCTTAGAGGTCTCCTCCAGCCTTGATTCTACGATTCTGCCTCTACAAAGGGGTCAGGCACATCCAAGGAGGGCTCAAGGGAGGGTGTTTTCATGTTAAAACCCTGAAGTAAATTTTATCAGACCTCATCTGCCCAAGATCAGAGCTTCCTGCTTGCTTTGTGCTTATCCTCCTCAGAGGATGCTCTGCAAGCCCAAATGCCAACCAGCTCTCCAGGGACTGTTGCCACAGGCCTTACTCCTTTTCCTACACCCCAAATCCCTTGCCAGACTGTCGCCTGTCAGGCTGATCACCTCCCAGCAGATGGCAAGCGCTCATTGCCGATGCACCCAGCAGCAGCAGCACTCCTCAGCCTTGACAGCTCCTTCTCTTAGGAGACAGGCTGTCCTGGCTCCTCCAAGCCATCATACTGCAGGAGATGGTGGCCTGACATGTCACACAAATGCCCTGCAGTGTTCTCATGGCTTCATCCTGTACGTGTAGCCAGGACGTGATCCCTTGTCTGACAGAAAAAAAAGAAGGAGCAGGTTCAGGAAAGCTGCTTCCTGGCACCCTGCATGCCAACTGGCTGCTGGCAGCAGCTTTGCCAAACCCTGTTGAGAAACCTCAGGCCAGAAGTGCCTAAGGAGACACAGCTGTGCCTGCCATGGGCTATAAAAAGACGTAGGAGATGTGGATTTCTTGGACACCACAGAAGAGGAAAGCTTTTCTTTATTCTGGGGAAGAGAAACACATTAATTTCAGTTCTAGGGCAATCAATGATTACCTGTACCAAGCCCTCAGATAGGGTTCCTGGCTTATAAGGCAAACAAGCAGAGCAAACTCTGTCTCCCCAGTGCACTTACCAGCTGCTTGTAGGAAAGTATCATACCCGTAGCTAATTTTCTTATCCTTTTCCTGGTTTTTGGGCAATACAAAGAAAAATTTGGAGAGGGCTGGTGGGGTGATTTTTCCCTGGGTGCCACCCAGGTGGGGCCCCACAGAGGCCAGTGTTGCATGCCTAGATACAAGAAGGTTTCTCATTTGACATGGAACTGCAAAGCCAGGCTGCTCAGGATGGCTCCTGTGCCTGCACCCTGCAGGTAAGTGTCTGCCCTTCAGCAGCTCCTCTGGCTTTCACCCTGCCCCAGATATGCACACTTGCAGCTGGTTAGGAACTGTCTGGAGACAACTAGAAGCTCAGCTGGCAGGAGTCAAGGTAAGAGCTGCCCTCAAAGGTGAGGGCACCAGTGGTGACATGCATTCCCAAGAGTCTTTATTAGAGGTGTCTAAGTCTTCCTCCTGTTCTGACGTGGCTGCTGCATGTTTCTTTGATCCCTCTCCCACACCTATAAACTCTTTGCCTCTCTCTTCTGGACTGATGCCCAGGATTTGCATGTATGTGCTCGGAGTGAAAACTTTCCCCCCAGGATTTCTCCTCAGGTTTTTTTATGCTAACCCAAGAGCTTGATCTTATCCCATTTAGATCAGTGTCATAGACAAGAAACAGGGAAATGTTGCTGCCTAGATCTCTTGGGACAGGAGGGAACCAGTTAGATGTCTCTTTCAGAAGAAGGCAAACCCCTTCAGTGCTGGCATGGGAGAAGGTGATGCTTTCTTACCCCAGCTAGTCTGGTGCACAGGAGACTCGCAATTTTGCATGTACACTTCATGTACAGACTTATACCTTTCCAGAGAGGAGCCCAGCTAGTGTTAGTGCCAGGAAGGAAGTGGGAAAAATCAGTTTTTCATGAGAGGAGTCTAATTCCAGCCCTTGCTGAAAGCCAGGAGAAGCTCAGAAGCATGGGATTCAATCACACTGACTGAAATTACAGCACAGCCTGATATGTTCTGAACAGTGGACAGCCTTCTGCTTCATCTATGGCCTTGGGATGAATGAATGTAGATAAAAAAGCATAAGACACCGGTGGGCCTAGTGCAAGCACACAGGTTAACCCTGCAGGAATTTCCCCTTCAAGCCTTGAAGCCAAGGCCAATCTCCTGGCCTTGTCCTGCTCTACTATCTCAGCAGGTTCTGCAGTAGACATGGTCAAAGCTATGTGTCTTCTGCTGTGGTCCTCCTTCTGGTTCAGTCAGCAAAAGCCCACACATCTCTTTTCTGCTCTGAAACGTCACCACATTGAAGTGTCATGCTCCAGCTGCCCTCCTCCTCTTTGGTTTGTCTATAGGATTTGCTTCCTATCTATCCCCCACACTGAGGTCCATCTGAGGGTTTTGGACTCTTTACCCCATGTCAGTGTTCTCACTGGGGTGGTACAGGACAATTTGTTCCTTCAGTACAAACCCAATGTAAAAATATTGAAGAATTGCTTCCTTCTTTTCAAATAGACTTTAATTAGGGCTTGCTCTCACCCCTTTCCTCAGAAGATCAGAGCACAAGCAGACACTGGAGCATCTCCAGTACCTGAGGCACTAGCAACATCCAGTAAGGATTATGCTGGATCCACCTTGAGGGTTCTAGCAGGGGACACTGGTACCAAGCACCAGGGAAGACTCCAGTTCCGTGAGCTCTTTTCAGCTCTTCTGTAAGGGTTGTCTCACTTACCCTCACCTTCTATCTCTTCCCTCATTACCTCCTCTCCCTTCTTTTATTTGCATAAACCCTCCAAGGAACTAAAGGACACTCAAATGACCATGTACTCCTCTGCTACATCTTTGTTGCAGCACTTTGCTGTTTCCCATTTCAGGTGTCAGCTCTGTCAGGCAAGGCCACCTCTTGTGCCACAATCTGCAAAAAACCTTGCACAGCAGAGCCATGATCTTGGCAGGAATCCTTAAGTGCTACTATGAAGCAAAAAAGTAATCAATCATTACTATTTTTATACATCTCTAAGTCTTCTCAAATGATGATCTTTGACATCTCTTCCAACCTGGTTGATTCTATGATTCTGATTCTATGATTCTCTAATAGGTCTTGATACTATTACAGTGTTGAGGACAGGCTGAAATTAGATAACAGTACATTCAGCTGGCATCTATTCCCTTGGAAACACAGGTAAAATGTATTTAATACCTCTCC